ATCCCGCAGTCAGGATTTCAAGCTAGCTGGAACCCAGCCACACTACTACAGAATACAGATGGAGAGGAGAGCTATCTAACTTGCAGGCTACAGTACAAATAAATTGATACCCTTCAAGGTCTCTCCCCTTAAAAGGAAGGGGGGCGGGGGGCCTCTGCATCTGATCTATTGCATGTGCCATGTACTGAGAACCCTTTTTCTTTGTGCTAAAGGAAAAAGGCCCAGTAGGAAGGCAGACAACACAGCAAGTTGCCCTCTGCTGAGAACCTGGCATGAACCTTTCTCTGCTTGAAGAGATTTTATTCCAACTTCAAAACAATGAGGTTACAAAGTCGGACAAGGTCATTTGCCTTTTAGCAGCTGGATCCATAGGGGAGCATGGGGGAAATCCAAAGCTGGTGAAATTTGGGAAGAAGGATATTGAATGAGGTTTTTATAAACACTTCTGATTTACATGTGGTGGTGGGAAGCTGCCTGCTTCTAAATAGCTTTTTTGGCTGCCCTAGGAGGTTTTCAGAGGTTTGCTGTTTGCATTTTGCTTCTCCTCATTATGGCTAAAGCTGCCTGAATTGTGCAGTTTAGATTGATCCCAAAGCTATGAACTGGACAAAAAAATAAGTACACTTCTTAGTTCTTAACATTAAGGTTTTATTCTTAATAAACATGCGAGGTTTGTTGGTGAAATCGACAAATTTCTGACAATCAACGTGTCATAAAAGATTCCAAGTTTTAACCCCGTGAAGCAACCAGGTGAAGGCTGTTTAATAATGATCAGAGACAGGCAGAACCAGAGGTGGCTTTGGCCTAGGTTTTGCAAAACCTTACTGGTGGGAGTTTGGTGTTGCCAAAATCAAAAGCAAGGTAGTTTGGACTTGTTCCTGTTTTTTCCAGACACCCACAGCTCATTGGGTTTGGATAAATGGCTCCAGTTTTGTCCCCGTTCTCACAACTTTAGGGACATGGGAGTGCACTTGCCATGGTGGGAAAAACATAGTGGGCAATTCTGTTCCTGGTATAAATGGTTTCAATTCCATTAAGAACAGTGCTCTCCACTGACTCTATTTACACCTGTTGTCTACTCTGTAATGCATTCTCTGACTGGTTATTCCAGGCCAGAACTTTGGGAGAGCCTGTGTGTTGACTGTGTTAGTCAGTCTGGGAGCTAAGGAGCCCAAGAGAACCACGGGGGCCGTCAATATCCTGCAGCCCCAATCGCCTTTCTATTCCCCGTCACCAAATTCTGTCTTTTCTCTAGCCCAAGAGGTACTCTAAAGCCTGGTCAGCCCAGGGCTGAATGGGGTCGAGTGTGAAATTAAATGCAAAGGCCCTGAAGGAGGAATGCGAACCCAGAGGGAAGGTGTGAAAATGGCATCAAAGGCAGCTGGCAGAAAACCAGCCGGCTGGTGAAACAGTTCAGAGCGCTTGACCTTTTTGAGAGACGGCTTCATTTGGCTGGATCAGCTTGGGTTGAGTTTTAATTTCTTGCTTGACTGGGTTTAAGATCTTTCTTGCGGCCAGTCGCTTTCGAGCTGGGATGGGGAGCTTTCATTTGCTTCCATCACCAGTAATCAATTGACCTTGACATCAACCCCATCAGCTATTCTCAGAAAACATCCTTGCTCCCCTCCTTACCTCCTATTAATTCTGCATTAATTATACAAGAGAATTGCCAGCCGGGGGGGGGGGAGATTAAAAACATAAAATCAGCCATTCAGCTCAGTGCCTCGGGGAGGAGGGGAGGAAGGAGAGAGAACCATTTTGAAATGGCATGACCTTGAAAATGAGCTCTCAGCTAGGAGAGTGATTGGAAGAGGTCAATGCTGCAGAGGTTGAAACAAAAGGGTCTGCACCAAAGAACGCTTTTCGGACAAAACCCGCAAGTTGTAACTGGCCAGTCAAAACTTCCTCCAGATTGAAACCTCGCTCATTCTGGGAGCTTTGGAAAATGCTTTTGCTGGGTTTGGATTGCATGGGCTGTTTCTTCTAAAGGTGTTGTGTTTGGCTCAGTTTAGGGGCACCAGTGGCAGCACCGTTCCGACTGGCTGCAGCACAGGCAAGGAACGGAGGGATTTGTTCGGCTGCAATTCCACTTCCAGTGCAGGTATTACTTGGCGCTGATGTTGGACTTTGCATTTTCCAAGTTCTTTGAGTTAGTAAGTGCCAAGACGCCCTTGTGAGCTAGGGAAGTGAGTGAGCATGAATGGCAATGCAGCAGGGATGAATTGCACCAACTGTGGGCTACCAACAATGTATACAAAAATCTGATAAAGCCCGCCTCTCCCCTGTAACTACCAGCTGAAATAATGCTAGGGAGAGAAGGCCACAGAAAGGCTCTCTGTATCTCTCTCTCTATTTCTCCTTCCTATACCCCTCTGTGGGATCTAACAGCCCCTTCTTACAGATGTATGAGTTATAAAGAAATGTCCATTGGCTAAATATGTATGTGCCATGCATTAATTATGCCTAGTTGAAACCATCTAGGCTGGAGGGTGTCATGTTTTTTTACATACAAATGGTAATCAGGTAGGTCCAGACCCAAAGGGACTTTTGTTTTAGATTAAAGAAAAATGACAACAAAAATTAGCCATAATAAAGTCTCCATGAGAGAGAGCACAGTATGTGTGCTCCCTCCGTAACAGGGTGCAGCGGCTTTGAGAACAAAATGGCTGCTCTTTCTGCTCATAAGCAGAGCAACATCCCCTTCAGGGCGGTGTGTGAGTTAGGTTTTATAGAAGCGTCTTTGTGCAGACCTTAAATGTTGGGTCTCCTATGACTTGACAGCCTCCCTGTGAAATCATAAACCTAGCCCACAAACTGAGCCCAAGTCATGAGTGATGAGACAGCAAGGACTGGAACATTAAGCTCCCCCATTAAACTCAGTGGTGCCTGGACCATTAGCTTGGAAGGCCTCGGGTTCCAGTTCGTAAGCAAAGTGAATTGCTTCCAGCTGAGAGAATATCCCTGTATCCCTTTGTGAGTACGTCCGTCAGATCAGAAGAGAAAGCCAGGGGTGGAGAACACAGTCTTTTCTGCTTTTGAACGGGTGCAGGGGGGAGCCGTGCCCTGGCAGGGCAGTAGCAGCTTGGCGAGTGCGTTCCTTCTGTCTTTGGGCTAATGCTTTTCAGAGCCTTTCCTTTACTTATAGGTTGCCTTTTACGCTGCGGGGAGCCAATAAGGATTGTTTAAAACCAGATGGGTTGTGTTTGCTGTGGGGACACTGAGAAAGAAAGAGAAGCCTTGTAAAAGGGAAAGAGACGGGGGAAACTGCTATCGTCCGCTCATGCAGAGTGTATGGGTGGCTGCACTTGGAACGCCTGTTCTTTTTATTAGTGTTATAATGGTGCTTAGAGCCCTTAGCTGAGATGGACGTTCCATTGTATGAGGCACCATACAAATACATGGTGAGAGACGGTCCTTGCCCTGAAGATCTTAGAAGGTGCTGAATAGGAGAAAGGGATCTGATATATGAGCAGAAGATTGAAAGCTAGGATAGCACTGATGTGTGCAGGCAGTGTGTGCCAGGGCTGAGAACTCAACTGATGGCTTGGCTGGGGGTCTCAGACCATTGCCTTAATCACAAGCCCATCTATTTCCCCCATCCTCTTTGTCTGTCATTAGAAGCTAAGTCTAGCTGTATTTTCTTTATTTTTCTATCATTGTCAATGTGCTTTTGCAGCCCGCCTCACTGCAGCACCAGGGGTCTTTGTATCCCAAAACTAGCAAATACAAAAGTATATTATTAGGGGTGAGTCAATAAAATGAACATTTCCTGCTCCATTATCTGCATGCAACGCCCTGGCCTTGTCATGATGGTTGATTAACTAAACGCCTGATTAAAGAGTTTCTGTGAGGCAGCCTGGAAATCGCCAGGCCTGGCTCGGAAGAGAGGAAGGCTGCTCTTAGGGCTGAGGCACTGGATGGGGACCCAGGAGGAATTCAATTACTGGTCCGTGGGACCTTGGGCAAGTCCCTTCATCTGTGCGTACGTCTTCACTGCAGAATTGGCCCAGGTGATCAGCACCCAGGTTAGCCTAGCTTGGGGATGAGCAGCCACACTGCAAAGCCCTGCTGTGCTACTGTGTCCTCCCTCGTGCTCCACTCACCCATGTGTGTCGCTAGGACTTCTGGGGGCATATATCCCATGGGTCTCTGGGCTGCAGTAAGCTGAGCCCCTCTAGGATTCTCTCCCAGTAAATTGCTGAAGAACTTGTTTGCCCTTCCGGACACACGGTGGGATTGTGGGAAGGCACTGGAGGACTATCAGCACTGGAGTGGGTTAGCCTCTGTTCATAATGTGGCACTTGACCTCTAGCCTAGCTGGGCCAGCTAGCTTGGGATGAAAGCACCACAACGTTCAGGGGAAAGCGCTGTGTGTGTGGATAGGAGCAGGCTTAGGGGCAACGCCCAGGCTAACTTGCAATGAGGATACACCTTGGATCTCAGCTCCCTTCTGGGAACAGAGCTAACTGTACTTCCTTTAGCTATCTAGACTGTGAGGTCTTTGGGGCAGGGATTTTTATTCTGTGTCTACTTAGCACAATGGAACCCTGACCTTGGCCGGGCCTCTTGGAGCCATTACAAATAGTAACAGGATTCTGTTGGAATCTGATGGGCTTTTTGCAGGGAGCATTTTGCCCCTAATACATGCAGGCCATAGAGCCCTGATCTCCTGGTTCCCAGCCCTGTGCTTTTCCACCCCTTCAGTTGTGGTATTATTCAGCTTTGGGGCACGGTGCTTGTTTCTGAAGCGCTTTCGTGGATCGTGCCTTCCTGAGGGCCCAACTAAATCATCCCAGCCAGGGCTTTGTCAAGCCAGGCCTTAAAAACCTCTAAGGAAGGAGATTCCACCACCTCCCTAGGGAACCCATTCCAGTGCTTCACCACCCTCCTAGTGAAATAGTTTTCCCTAATATCTGGCACATGAGCGCGATGGCGCTAAGGAAGCCTGTCTCCTGCCCCAGGCCTCTGACCCGCTTTGCCCTTTCTCCTGTCTCCTGCAGGTGCTGCACTCCTCCGCCTCCTACTGCAAAACCATCCTGGACGACAACAGCGCCTCTGCCCTCATCATCCTCGGCTTCGTCATCATGTCCCCGCTCATCGTGGTGGCCATGGCCGTCTACTGCAGCCTGGCGCGGCGCCTCCGCCTCTTCCTATGCTTCCAGCCCTACGCTCGGGCCGTCTACAAAGGGGTGAAGTGGCGCTGGTACGAGGAGGGAGGGCTGTGCAGCTGTGCCAAGGAGTGGAGCACTCAAGTCAAGGCCTGGGTATGAGCTCGCGGCACCAGCTCCCCCAGCCCCCTCCCCCCAGTACATCCCCCCTTGGCACCTGCAAAGTCACCATCTGGAGTCCTGGTAGGCATAGGCTCTCAGGTCCTACGGGACAGAGGAATGAGCTGGGTCTGGAATGAACCCCTCTCCTGTAGCTGTACCTAAGCCTGTAACCCTCAGCAGGTTCTCCCCACTGTGATGGAAAGGCACCAAAGCACATGGACAAAAGCGTGTCAAAGGGGCTCGCCCTCCTGCTACTTACGCAGGGCCAGTCATGTCCCGGCTGGTACAGAAGAGACAGGACTCGCTGACTTAGAAATGGGGATGCTTCACTGAGGCTGCTGGACACAGACAGGCCCTGTGGTTCTCCCTGGCTCCCAACTTTGTGCGGCTTGGCATCAGAACACGGGATCTCCTTACGTCATGGACTAGACTGCGCAGTGATGGAAGGGGCTGCTGACGGCGCTACAGGCACAAGGGAAAAGTAGCCGTGTGGTTAAAAAGCTGCATCCTTTGTCCCAGAGAAGTGGCCCCCTGTAAAATACACATTCAGCCAGGAGGGGGTCCATTGTGGCCCCCCCCTGCCTAGAATCCTATTGTGGCTGCACGGGTCTCTGGCCCTGCAAATGCACCTGTGAGTCTGGGCCTTGTTGCGCTGTGACTATGTCCGTCCCGCTTTGCACAGCTGCTCTCGTAGCAGGTTATAATGGTGACTGTGTTCCTTTTGTGATTAGTGGGGACCGGGTGGCTTGGGGAATCTCTACCGGGCTGTGGGTACCTTCCCCCCAGGGTGCTGGCCTGAACCCTGCCTGCTTTGATGCTGGTTATTGAAATCTGATGGCCACGCAATGGCCTGCTAGACATTGGGTATTGTCCAGTGAAGTGTTTCCCAGACAGTGAGTCCCAACCTGCCACTAGATGGGTTATGGACCTGATGCAGAGGGAGGGCTTGGGGGTGGGGGTGGGGAGGTGGAAAGCAAGCTCACCTCACACTCACCCCGCAGTGCCTGGGACTGGCTCCCCGCTCTGGGCATTGATGGCGGGGCAGCTGTGTCAAACCTGAGTGGCGCTGCGACCTGGCAGATAGGGTTGCAGTGCCCGGAGCAGGGAGCTGGGCCCAGCCCTGCAGGGTAGCAGCCGTTGCTGCAGGGTGAGGGCAGGCAGGGCTCACTCTCCGCCCCCCACCAGCCTGGGGCCTCCCCTCCGCATCCCGCCGGGATTTGGTTTGGGAGACTGAGGGACAGGGGTTGCTGCGGGTGGTCTGTGCCCCCTTTGGGGGGGGAGGGAGACAGCGGCAGTGGAGGAGGACCCTGGCCTGTGATTTTGGGCCCCTCCCATGAATCTGGGCCTTTTGTAAACATAATGGTGGGTCTGAAAAACAGACAAAACGCAGTTGGCGGGTCACCATTGTAAAACGTTTGGGAACCACTTGTCTAGTGGACAGGGCTTGGCAGTCAAAAGCCACTCCAGCAGCTGGCACTCGCTGACCCATCTCGTGCCCGGTCTCCACAGACAGGCCAAGGGTTGAATGGGCCACAGAGACGACATTCCCCGCCCCAGCGCAGAGCTGAGGCACATCCGCAGGGCAGTGCAAGGGACGCGGCCCTCACTGCTATCCAGGATGCACCTATAGACACCAGGGGTTTCATTCTTCGGGGCTCTCTGGCCAGCACCTTTCTCCGGTAGTTTGGAGAGGTTTGTTTCTGGGGGAGGGAGCCACACAATCTAAACCTATCGAAGCAAGAGATCCAGCCTGGGTTCCCATCCTCACCTGGCACCGTAGAACTCACACAGGGCCTGCTCCGTTGCCAGCAACGTCAATGAGAGTCTCTCCCTTGGCTTCAGCTGGCTTTGGACCAGGCCTGAGGAGGGCCTTTCCGAGCTGGATGCCATTGACCACTGGAAGCTGTGTATCCCCAGTCACCGTTGTTCTTCTGTCCACTGTAACCGCTTCAATTGCTGATGTGTAAATAAACCCCATGCTGGGGACTCCGCCATGGGGGCCGCTCTGCATTCGCTGTCTGAGCACCGGCAGTCCACCCTGTTCATGTGTGATGCCCATTGTAATGTGACCGGGCCATTGGAGCCCCTCGCTGTATATTAAAGACTAATTTGTGTATTTTCCCTGGGGTTTGGTTTTCATTCTAAGGGTGTAAGGCCCTGGGGCCATCCCTGCAAATGACATGGGAGCAAAGTGACCATGGGAAGCTGAGGGGGGTGGCAGCTGAACACTGGACAGCAGGAGAAGGCTAACGCCCTTGGAAATTCCATGGCAAGCTCAGGCTTAGCTCCCCAAATGTGTGCGGTCAGCAGATGGGCAGCAACCGGGCCCAGTCGTGCCTGAGGAGTGCACTGCAGGAGAATGGCTCGGGGCCTGGAACGACTGTCAGGTGAAGAGCGATCGCTGACTATCTTAGGAGACGAATAAGAGGGGACATGATCAAAGTATTGTTGCGAGAGCTACGGGGAGGCTGCGAGGTCTGTTCCGTGAAGTGTTTTGAGATTTTTAAGCTTTCAAAATTCTCCATGAAGGCAAATTCCCCCAAAACACCCGCTCCGGGTCAGCTGAAGTGTTGTGTTTTCAGTTTTGTTCGTTTTGTTTTGTAGATCAGACAACATTTTTACAAATTTGAAATGAAAATTGTTGCAAAACAAACAAAACGGTTCATTGAGAAAATGTCAAAACATTTCCCCCTGTTTTTTCCCCAAACACAATGCCGGTAAAATTGACCCGATTTTGAGAAGTGGTTTGATTTCAATGGAACTGCGTATTCTGACGGAATATGGGTCCGTTGAAGTTTCTTTGGCCATCTTTAATTGTCGCTCCTTTGGCCCCAGAGGTTAGACAAAGGGGGGCCTTGCAGGGTTGCTTCCATTATAGGATAAGAAATTGATGCTCTGAGGCAGGTCTGTTCTTGGGGCGATCTTGTTTATTTACCCAAGATGCACACAAAGTCCTGTTTCCCCGAACACAGTAGGAACAACCAACAGCAGGCAGTTTCCTTGCTCAGAATCCCCACGTCTGCTACACCAGTAAGCTCTGTGCTCAAGAAACAATGTCTCTCCACTTCCTCTCAGGATCACACTCACAACTGCTTCTCCTGGCTTTCTGATGGCTTTCTCTGGCTTTCTGCCCTTCATGCACACCGGCTGCAGAACCAATTCCTAGCCCCTGTGTCAGGCCTATCAGGGTGACCTTCTCAGTCCACACAGCTTAGCTGCATCCTGCCATGTGCCTTGAGTGATCACTCCATTGTTTGTAGCTGTCTCTAGTACATAAAGGGGCTTAATTTTTCCTTCTATGGAGTCTGAAAGAGTGCTTGGCGCAGCCATTACAATTGGTTTTGGATCAGAGACCCAACGGATGGCAGCCATTAGCAGCTTTCAACATAACAGTACAAATAGTGAATGGGATCAAGAAGGTGGATCATGATTTTCCATTCAGTCCTGTCTCATAGTATGAAAACAAGGGGACATTCAATTAGATTGAGAAGAGAAAAGGAAATACTTTTTCTTACCATTGGCCTGTGCAACTCATTTAGGACAAGAGTTTAGCAGGATTCAAAATGGAATTGGACATTGATATGGGAACCAAGAAGAGCCATAGTTAGAATAATAAACACTATACATAAACAAGAGGTTTAAAAAGGCCAAGAACGCTCATGCTCCAGGGCATAAACCAGCCTTTAACTATTGGTGGTCAGGAAGAAATTTTCACTGAGTTTAGGTCATCCCATAATTGCCTACTGTAGGGTTTCTTGAACACACTCTGAAACAGCCAATGCTGGCCACTGTCAGAGACAGGACACTGGACCATGACTGAATCAGTCTGGCAATTCCTGTGCGAGTCAGGCCCGCCCAGAGGATTCAGGGGGCCCTCGCCGCCGAATTGCCGCCGAAGACCTGGCACTTCGGCGGCGGGTCCCGGGGCAGAAGGACCCCCCGCCACCGAATTGCCGCTGAAGACCCGGAGCGGAAGAAGCTCTGGGGGCCCGGGCCCCGCGAGAGTTTTCCGGGGCCCCCAGAGCGAGTGAAGGACCCCGCTCCACAGGCCCTGAAAAACTCTCGTGGGGGCCCCTGCGGGGCCCGGGGCCTGGGGCAAATTGCCCCACTTGCCCCCCCCTCCTCCGGGCGGCCCTGGTGCGAATCAGTGCTTCAGTGATGCTTCTCCCCATCACCCAGGTGGCAGGGTCCTCAGTGAGCAAAGGTTAATCTCAGCTCAGCTGCCTCCTGCTTTTGCTCGGGGAAAGGCTGGAGGAGGGGTTGCTTGGATGGCAGAGAGGGGAGGGTCCCTGGTAAGTTTATGCTCCTCACATAGGGAGAGAAAACTCTGAGGAGCCCCTACCTAGGAGGCGGGGAGGAGTTTTCTGCTTTCCTTTTTGTAGCATGAATTTATTTTGCTTCCCTGCTCTGAGCATTATTCCTAGAGAGAAAGACCTTGCTGGCTGATTCTGTATTTCCTCTGCTGAGTCATTCCACCAGCCTTTCTTGTGATTCCTCCCACCCTGGCAGCTGCATTAAACCAGGTTCCCTCCATAATCCTGACCCCTCTACACAGCATGGGCTCCAGTATTATAGCTATTAACCCAGCTTCCAATTTACTTGCCTGACTCCAAAGAGATGCACCCAGCAGAGCTCACTGGCTACTGTACCGGACACATCACAGTGAGATTGCTGCAGGCAGCTGAGCGTAAATCCAGCAGCCCCGGTGTAATCCTGTAATCCATGCCTCATTGCATCAACAGAGATGGGCCGGCTCTGGGTTTCTAGGACACCTGATCCAATCAAAACACCCACTGAGTAATTGGGCAATCTAGCCCAGATGGTACCAGACAGAGGGCCGATCAAAGGGTTCGCCTCTGCAGGATTGCTGGCCATTCTGTTGGCTTGGCTGCATCTAGAACTGGTCCACAGCATGGAACAGAATTAAATGGCAGAGAAAGATGGGAAGAGAGAGAACTACACTCCGTGCGGCTGATGCCCGGCCGGAGCAAGAGCATTCGCCCCGGGGAAGGAAGGGCTAAAAGCAGCATAGAACTTGGGGGGGGGGGGGGTAGCAGTCATTGTGGATGAGAGAGGATCTACACCATGAGAGGGTGCCAGGGAGGGACTGGCAAAAAGGCTGTGGACGGTGTGGGGTGTGGTTTGGACACAGCCAGACTGGGGCACACTCAGAGCAGGTAGAAGACAATGTGATAAACTGGGTAACACCCTGTCGGGTGGGTCAGTCTCATTCATGGCAGCGGAACGCAAGGCAAGACCCCATCAGCCACTGCACCATGACAGGCCAGGCTGGCCGGGTGAGCCCGTGCTGCTGGGCTGACCTAGGAGTGAGCATTGGTATAAAAGAGACATCGATCAGCGTCTATCCAAACCTGTTACCGCGATTGCTGGGTCCCAGCCACCCCACATACTGCACATCCTCAGAGGCAGGGCCGGCTCCAGGGTTTTGGCCGCCCCAAGCAGCCAAAAAAACAAACAAACAGCCGCGATCGCGATCTGCGGCGGCAATTCGATGGGAGGTCCTTCGCTCCGAGCAGGAGTGAGGGACCGTCCACCGAATTGCCGCCGAACAGCTGGACGTGCCGCCCCTCTCCAAAGTGGCCGCCCCAAGCACCTGCTTGGTAAGCTGGTGCCTGGAGCTGGCCCTGCTCAGAGGCAGACTCTAGGACAGGGGTTCTCAAACTGGGGGTCAGGACCCCTCAAGGGGTCGGGAGGTTATTACACATGGGGGGTCGCAAGCTGTCAACCTCCACCCCAAACCCCGCTTTGCCTCCAGCATTTATAATGGTGTTAAATATATAAAAAAGTGTTTTTAATTGATAAGAGGGGTTGCACTCAGAGGCTTGCTATGTGAAAGGGGTCACAGTACAAAAGTTTGAGAGCCACTCCTCTAGGATCTGTAGTTTGTGCT